ACACACACACGCTATTCGTCACCCTGAGTGAGGAATAGTTATTCTTCACCCCCCTCTATTTTACCATCAATGCACCGTAATTTTACGTTCCGTAAGTTTTATTTTATTTCCGACGCAAAAAGAGACAGTAAGAAAATATACCCGTAAAAAATATTTTATGTTACGTAAAATTACAAACGTAAAAACATATTCTAAAATACACATAAACTATAAATTTTCTTGTCTTATGACCTATATTTTTATTTTCTTATGTCAAATTTTACGTACTGAATCAATAAAAATGTAACTATTTGAATTCTAAACGTAATTTAATTATGAAATGATCGTAAGATTCCCTCGAGTGAAGAATAACTTATTCTGCACCCTGGATGATGAATAGTAACACTATATATATATACACACACATACATACAAATATACACATGCTTTTGAAGATGTCACTGGCATCAGATGTTGTGACTATTGAAGCAATAGCATTGCGGGATGGATTAATTCTGGCGAACTCCTTGGGTTTCAAGAGAGTAGAAACGGAGTCAGACTCGTTGAACGTCATCAACTATTGTCGAGGACAAGATCAATGGTGGGATGCAGCTGCAGCGATCTTCGCCGAGTGCATAGACTTATCAACGTCAAAAGGAAAGGTCATCTTCTCTCATTGTTTTCGCAAAGAAAATTCAGTTGCGCATGAGCTAGCAAAGTTTAGTTTTTGTAATAAATGTGATGACAATTGGACTAACGAACCTCCTGAGTTATTAGTTAGCCAATTGGCGAACGATGTAACTATTGTTTAAGTTCAATAAAGCTAGACATGATGGCCTCCCCCCACCCCAAAAAAAGGACAAGAAATAAATAAAAGTTTCAGGACTCTCCATTCTACTACTATTTGCTTGCTCTAGATAAAGGACCTCCGATGAAGATGGAGGAGGCGGAGCAGCAAGAGCCGGAGCTGCCGGGCTTCAACATGGAGCAAATGGAGGCGGGGTTCACCGTCGCCCAGTCCGACGAGATGGCGGAGCAGTAGGCCATTCTGGACTCCATCCAGAATGAGGCCTATGTGGAGGCCAATCGGGCGTTCCTCCGGCGGAAGCAAGCGGAGTCCGACGCGCTTTTCGTCGAACTCGACGTGGAGATAGAGGCGGAGGAGGCCGGAGCGGAGCAGCCGGAGCTGCAGCTGCCGGCTTGTCGCCCATGCTGCCGGAGCCGGGCACGGAGATTATCGACATATTCGACGACGAGTAGCTAGGTGATTGATGTAGTACATAGTTTTTTTAGTTTGCATGTCTTTGTATGGATTTGATAATTTAATATGAGATATCCAACTGCAACTTCGGATTTGCCAAATTCAACTATAGATGCTCTAAACGGCGGTAGGCTCCAATTAATCTGATCATCTATCATGCAGCCAACCGCCAACGGCCACCTAATGCACCGACCACGGAATCATAGGACAGAATCCGTTCCGTTGCACGACCAGCAGCCGAACACATTTAGGCCCCGCTTGGAAGCCCCGAAAAAATCTTACAGTCGGAACAAGTTACAACCACATAATACTGGTCTCCAGTAATTTACAGCCGGATACAATTTCCGCTTGTAAATTCTGTCCTTCCCCTTCACGGTTCCCACGTCCATAATCACGCGTCTTCTTCCTCATTGGCTGTCGTGGGGGATGAATGGATCAGGAAGCTGCCGCCGTCGCCGCCGCTCCCGTCCACCCCCTCCCCCCGCTCAAGAGGCTGCCCTTGCAGTTCCTGCTGCCCGACACCATCCCGATCTCCACCTCTCTGGTCAAGGCCGTCGGCCGTGCGCAGCCGGCGGAGAAGTCGCGCGGTGGCGGGCGAGCTGGACTAGGTCATCGGCATCAACAAGGAGATCTGACGCGTGGTGCGGATCCTATAGCGACGCGCATGAACAACCCCGTCATCACCTAGCCGCCGTCGCGGTCAACGTCGCCGGCGCCTCGCCGGCGCCAGAATCAATCATCGCCACCGGCACTCCATCATGGACGCTGGCGCCAGAGCCTGCCGGTCCGTGGTGGTTGCGGCGGCGTCGCGGCGAAGCCGTCGACCTCGCCTAGGCTCAAAAGAGGAGAGGATTACGAAGATGCTGGGAGAAACAACGGGCCGAGGTCTGTACCAAATACCGGTTAATTACAGGTGTAATCGAACGAACCTGTGTAAATATTACGGACCAAAAACGATCAACCAAGCAGCCATGCGTAGCCGGTCTGAATTTTCCATACGGAGGTATATTTTACCGGTGTATTTGCCCTGAAAACGACAATCCAAGCGGGCCCTTATCTTGGACGCCGCTGGCTGTAATCCGGGCGGTGCTCTCGTTGATAGTAATCCGTATGTCCCGTACACCAAGTACATACTACAAAGTCGTTCCAGATGTCATCTTTTTCTTTGAAAATCATTAAAAGAATGAGAAGGATGCGACGGCGACCGGTTGCTATCTACTCTCTTCGTTTTATAATGTAGTGCGTCCATGCTTTCTGAAATTTAAGTTTGACCGTAAATATAACCAACAAAACAGATTATAGCGGGAGCAAAAATTATATCACTGAATTCATATAAAAATACGAATTTAATGTAATTTTCACTCCCTCCGTAATCGGGACTTTACGGTTAAATTTGAATCTCAAAACGCACGGATACACTATATTATGGAACGGAGGAAGTATAAAAAAGCTTGACAGATGACAAACCCAGGGGCTGCTTGCAGTAGATGGAGAAGGCGCGGGCCGTTGTTGGCATTTTGAACATTTACTGTTATACGAAAGGGGATTTGCTGAATTGGTAGTTACAAAATAATATTAAAATTTAGGAGAGAGACTATAGACGTTCTATATATAGATGTTCTATTGTAAAACTGGACGTGTATTTGAAAAAAATCTTTTTAGACCATTGTCTATATATAAAGTAGGGCATTTTGGAGACCGAGCTCCATGGAGCCCTTTATTTTGAATAACTCAAAATTCATAAATTTCAGTTTCAAAA